ATAGTAAGTTTGATTCTTCAATAGCAGTTTGTTTTGTTGGAATATTATGTCACTGGCAAACTTGAAAATGTTTGAGTACTACAGTAATTTCAATTGACATAAGCACCTTTAAACATAAAAACAGGAGACAATTAACTGACATTCTTAATTTACAATGTGTGTGACTAACTAGACCATCTAAATAACATGTAAGCTAAAACACATGTACAATCACAATACACAGTACTTGGTAATCATTAGTATTATACTACCTGGAATTCTACAAACACTAGGGTGCACAAGAAGAGTCCACCGCTGACTTCACAATCGCTCTGTGTTCCCAATGTCAGCCGTTGACTAAAATTATTTTTGTAACAACTGTGTAGGAAAACTGCCACAGCTATTTATTATTGTACATATGCTTCACTGCTTCTTCCCCCAAGTCAACTGGAGCACATTATTAAAATGCAAAAAGATATACTGTATGTACCTCTGGCTAAATCTCATGGAAGTCTTCTCAGCTGCCACAACATACAGTACTATACAGTGGTCCCTCGATTAACGAACGGTCCAACTAACGAAATTTCGGTTAACAAATTAGCTCCCATATGGATTTTCAATTCCATTAACGTACAAAACTTCGAATAATGAAAACCTTACGGGAAACACTCTTTGTTGTGGGCATCAGCTGATCGGCTAGTCTGCCAATACAGTAATTGGTTCTTTGTTTACATTCGTTTCCAGTGGAGTAAATATCAAGAAAGTTGTGCTCTTGAATATTTGTGCATTTTTTATTAAAATTATTGGTCATTCTAATTTAGTTAACATATTGATAATACTGTATATACAGTACAGGGAACAGTTTTTGTGTGCCAATCAGCTGATCGAATCACCCACCAACGCTTCTCAGTTTAGCTTTGTTTACAGTGGAGTGAACATCCAGTTTGTTGGTCTCTTGAATATTTTTGCATTTTTACATTAAAATTATTGGTCATTCTGAAATTTAGTTAACATATTGATAATATACAGTGCAGAAATTATTATGAAACATGAAGAAGGCATTAGAACCAATGCACTCTGTAAAGAATATGGCATGTCATCATTGACTGCCTCTACAATCAGCTGTTGGATATGTGAACAAAGCTGCCGGGAATACGACATACACACCTCAAAGTAAGTTAAAATATAATATTCTATTGTTTTTTTATTTATTATATATTATGCAGTATACTGTACAGTACAGTACAGTATTGTATTTAGTTTATATTTAATGTTTTGTTAATTCTATTACCGGTATACAGTACTTTGTATGTACTTTTTCTGTGAGTTGGAACCAATTACCCAATAACCCATTGAAATAATGGATTCAGTTAACGAACGACTCTGTGGAACCAATTGTGTTCGTTAATCGAGGGACCACTGTATTTAGTTAGCAAATTTATGCAATACAGTGGTCCCTCGGTTAACGAGATTTCGGTTAACGAGTTGCTTTCCATAAGATTCTTAACTTCGGTTAACGAGCAATCCCTCGATTAATGAGTTTCTTACGAGCCAACCTGAACATGATTTCGCTTGCATTGCATTTAGCGGTCCACCAGCTGTAGTATTAGTCCGCCAATACAGTAATCGGTTCTAGGGCTTAAATTCCTTACCATTTTAGCAAATATCAAGAAGTTTATACTATTCAATAATTTTAAAGTTTAATATTAAATTTTTTACTCATTTTAACAATTATTGAACATATTGAAGGTAATGAAACTAGTTTTATGCGTGCCATCCAGCCTCTCAACACACCATACAGGCGTCAGTCTTTGTATCTTTTCAGTGGAGGTAACATCTTGCTTGAGACTCTCTTCAAGTAAATGCCTTTTTTCTGTTTTTGCAAGCAAACTATTGGTAATTTTGAAATTTATTTTACATATTGACAATATATAATGCAGTGCAGTGTTGATTTAAAGAAAATAATCTTGAATTGCACCAAGAGAACTAAAATTTCATGGGTGAAATGGCACCATGGGGTGACTTCTCTTCCACCCCAATGCCTTCTCTTCTCCCTTCTCCACCCCCATTCTAATTCCCATCATCATCATCATCATCCAGGAGCCTTCTACATACACACCTCAAAGTAAGTGTACTTTTCTACCTTTTTTGTTGAATTTAGGCAATTTTCGGTGAGCTGGAACCAATTACCCAAAAACCCATTGAAACAATGGTTTCGGTTAACGAGCAACCTTCTAGAACGGATTGTGCTTGTTAACCGAGGGACCACTGTACTGTTAAATTATCTCTGGTAAAAATATAAAAATCAAAATGGATAATAAACAAATGAGTAAGAGAATGGTCTAACCCTTGTATCAAACTGAACTTAGAGATCAATGGTTTGATTTTAGTTACACTGTACTGTATTATAGCTTTTTGAAGCATATTATACTCTCCTGTTTTCTCATAGAGGTTTAGTTTACAATATCCTCCTCGTCTAATGAAGGAATACTGTACAGAAAAATGTGTCTTGGGGTCAACTTACAACATCAACTACTGTACTCTATTTTTTAAATGACTATTTGGTTAAACAAGTGACCAAAAACTGGTACTGTATGTCCTATTTAACATTATAAATAACTGTGTAGCAAACATATCTATACATAGATTGAGGAAAATACAGATATTGCTCCAAAATCACGTCAAGAATTTAATCATGTAGGATTAATGTAAATTTAGCAAGAATTACCGTCACCCTTTTGAACTTCTCGTATTTGAAAATACCTATAGTTTGAGAAAAATATACAGATTGCATATGATTGTTTTGAGGATTTACTCATGTAGTATTAAAACACAAAATTAGTCAATTATCCAGGGTAATTCCTGAAAATTGAAAAGCACATGAAAAATGTAGATAACACAACGAACCATTACGAGAGCGTAACTTGACCGCACACTACCTACACTTCACATAGGCCTGCCTGTAACATGTTTTGAGAATACAGTAATACTGTAGTCACAAACAGTTTTATAACTATCAAACTTTAAAGTGAAAATAATATGTAAGACGAGTCAAAATTATGAGAAAATAATATTATAAAAGTTCATTATAGTACTAAAAACTGATATTGTAATAGCCAAATGAGAATACAGTACGGTATTAGGATTTGGGAAGCCCTGCCTATAAATTCATGATGTCATAGGCTCAAAAGTGCATGCACAGATAGCTACAACTAAATGATAAACTGACATTTTCTTGTCCCTAACAAAAAATAAATAAAAATTAAGTTTCACCTAAGAGCCATTAATTACCCCAAGAAACTGAGATAGAAATAGGAATACAGTACTGTATCTGACAAAGTCAAATGAGGGCTCATCACTGCTTCACAGAAGATTGAAACCCGTGGTTGGGGCCCGAGGGTCACTTATTTCTTGAATACGGCCTCAACAAGACAAAACGCTTGGGGACTCGGGGCCTTGTCTGTGTGATGCCCTCTGGGGGTCAAATATAAGTGCAATCCTTGAATCAATACCAAGCATTAGTTAAAGAGTGGGGTAGAATAATTCTCAAAAACCTATTATAACTGCTGGCCATGTAAGCAATCCCACACTCAGCCCTCACCCAAACCCATCCTAGGTGCTTACCCGACTCGGTGAACCTGCAAGCCCCTCCATTGCCGAACATGGCCTATGGAACCATTATAAAACGTTCTTGTCTGGAGTGGGCCACTCTTTATGTCCAAGCATAGCTAAATGGTTCATTCTGAGTTAAGTAATATCTTACTTGACAACATTGGCTTAACAAGTGAGTGAAGCTTGGTGATGTAGGGATAGTGACTTAGCTGTATGAGTACATAATGGTGATGATTTAGAGAGAATGGTTATGTAGCAGGGCAGTCTTGGCTTATTGGAAGGGTTAGAAATAGAACTAATTGAGACTTAACAGTTAAGGTAAAACAGTATGTGACCAGTTGGTACCTATGGTGTGAGCAGAATTAAGGTGATAATCTACTCTAGGGTGTGGCCATTGCAAAAAGCTAAATTGGTGATCTATGAATTGCTGAAAATATGATAAATTGTTTGCAGAATTATTTGAATTTTAATAATTTTAAAGAGTTCAGAATTTTCCCAGAGAATTTTCATAACTCAGAATTAAAAATTAATATATTTTTCATTATAAAAAAAAAAAATATATATATATATATATATATATATATATATATATATATATACATACATATATATATATATATATATATATATATATATATATATATATATATATATACATACATACACACAGTGGTCCCTCGGTTAACGAACGCCTCGGTTAACGAAATTTCGGTTAACGAACTGCCTCCCATAAGATTCTTAAATTCGGTTAACGAATTTCTTACGAACCGACCTCAACATGTTTTCACTTGCACTGGCCGGTCAACCAGCTTTAGTATTAGTCCGCCAATACATTAATCAGTTCTAGGGCTTAAATTCCTTACTATTTTAGTAAATATCAAGAAGTTTATTCTATTCAATAATTTTAAAAGTTTAATATTCAATTTTTTAGTCATTTTAACAATTACTGAACATAATTGAAGGTAAAGTGGCTAGTTTAATGCGCGGCATCCAGCCTCTTAACACAGCAAACAGGCGTTAGTCTCTCTCTGTTTTCACTGGAGGTAACATTTTGCTTGAGACTCTCTTCAACTAAATGCTTTTTTTCTGTTTCCAAGCAAATTATTGGTCATTTTGAAATATATTTTACATATTGACAATATATAATGCAGTGCAGTGTTGATATAAAGAAAATAATCTTGAATTATACCAAGAGAACTAAAATTTTATGGGTGAAATGGCGCCATGGGGTGACTTCTCTTCCACCCCAATGCCTTCTCTTCTCCCTTCTCCTCCATCCCCATTCTAATTCCCATCATCATCATCATCATCCAGGAGCCTTCTACATACACACCTCAAAGTAAGTGTGCTTTTCTACATTTTTTGTTGAATTTAGGCAATTTTCTGTGCGCTGGAACCAATTACCCAAAAACCCATTGAAACAATGGTTTCGGCTAACGAGTTTTTCGGTTAACGAGCAACATGCTGGAACGGATTGTGCTGTTAACCGAGGGACCACTGTATACATGTATATATATATTCAGTCAATATACTTTTTAAGATAAAAATGAAATTTTCCTCACTTTCCAACAATGGGACAACATATTCCCATGTTGGAAACAGTTTCAAGTAAGAAACTTGAGTGAATTAACAATCAGTTCTTAATATATTAAGATCACTTTCAACTTGGCCCAGCACTCTGGAATCAAACCAAGACTTTTAAATAGAGGTACTACACAAAGTGGGTAACTTCTTAACAATGTCTTCCCATTTACTCTGAAAATACAAAATTTTGGGACAGGACCCAACACAAGGAACAAGTGCCACAAGTTTACTGAGTAAACTACCTTCTTTAATCAGGAGAAGACTCCTCAATAACTTTCACACTCTGCTGACTCCCTTGTAAACTTGTCTCATAGTGAGCCACGAACTTGTCAACATGTTTCTATCCACAAACAATCCACCACACTCAAAAGATTTAAAAAGGCATGTTATAAAAAATGGCAACTGCTATCTCCTCTATAAGTTCTAAAAAATCCCTGAAATTTTTTATACTTATTTTGGTTGTTATAGTTACCGTCGCTGAAAGATGTCTTTCTATGTGGCTACTTTTATCCTGTATGACATTTGTCACTATAAAGCAGAGTAGCTCATGCACAACTAAGTCCATACACCATACCGTACTAACCAAAACTCTCTCCATTAAACCATATGCATTGTATCCTCTGATTCACCTACAGTCTTCAATGGATATGATTAGAATTTACACACAATTAACTGTCAATAATTCCATAACCCAGTTATATCAAAATCAGAATTTTCTATTTGAATAACACTTCATACAGTACTGTACTATCAAAATCAAGAGACTACCTGTTTTTCACATTGCCTGGCATCACTCCTATTGTTGTTAATTTAATTAAATCTTAATGAAAAATAATTTCATACAAACATTAAGTATATAATGCAAATATTAAAATTAGCCAACAATTCTATTCTCTATCTTTTATAATTTAAGAGGGTCTAATTTGTACCTCAACAATTTTTTTCCAAATGCAATTGCAGGATTGCCTTTTCTTGTGGTCAAAGCACCTTTGCTACTGTTTTATGAAAGTCTTCTTATAATATACTGTATTTCATGTTGTTTGGGATATCTTAAATTTTCACCTACAACAAAACTTCCTAACTGTAAACATACGTCAGGCATCAAATACGTTAACCACACTGAATACAGTAAAGTCCTATTTATTTTGCTACTCCGTAAATGACTTAATGTCATAATGTGTGACTTGCCTCAGTGGCATGTTAATTTATTTTACTACTAAACAGGTAGTTAACAAATATTCCAGATCACCTGAAGAATCTCCACCCCAGCATATTTAACCTAGAGGTTAACTATCCTAAAACTAATTAGGGGGATGAGGTTAGGTTGGTTTAGCATTAAGGTGGCTAATCTTAGGTGAAATAAACTGGGGTGGAGATTCTTCAGGTGATATAGTATTTCTTGAGTGTGCAAAATACAGTAATACAATACTGTAATGGTTTGGAGAGAATGTGACTCCATCACAGGCACACACAAGGAAACAGGTGGATCGTTAAAACAAAAAGCTTTTCTAGATAATCCAACTTTGAAAATGCAAATCTATTTTTCTCAGCAAATGCAGATTATCATTACAGTATTTAATAACTGCAGGAAATCTTAACACATCTACATCAAGCTTTGTTAAAACTTCCTAATACAGTATCTTTTAATTGCTGCTTCTGAAAAGAATATATATTTTCTTTCTCCATAACAGAAGAAATATCTATCTTATCCCAAATGTCCACAACTGGAATCCCTAGAGCTTTAAAATAATCCAGGAACCAGATCCACACCAAGGCAGCTCTCTCAACCTTCCAATAAATCATGCACTTGACACTCACCTTGGTCAAACTGCATTTAAAATTTATATATTGTGCCCAAGGGTGTTACACTCCTGTATGTAAGATTCTAATTAAATTTGTCCCATTAGTCTAAAAGCATTTTGTTAATAGATATAGATATAAATATAGTGACCAGAGCCTGTACTGACATCAAGAACTTTAGCCATTGGTATCACTAATAATGGTACTGATTACTGTACTTGAGGACACGCACACATTAAACCTTACATATAAGTAATACATAAACATATTTGAAAAATTAAACCAAATTATATGTACAGGGTGAATATTGTTTTGTTAATCATCTGGTCTGCACCCTAAGACATGGGGGAGAGAAAGAAAAGAACATAGTACATATCTTTCAAAATTTTGTTATTATTAAATCTGTACTGAAGTAGAAATACAGTACTGTACTTGTAAACCTATTTTTTTTTGCTAAAAATTTGATTTGATGCAGTCTTCCCTAAAGTTTAATGAAAAAATTCTTAAAATTTTGTGATTTTCTTGCAACCTATCATCCACTAAACAAGGTCAACATACCGTACTAATAAACAGATGTAGGAAATCACAAGACATACCACCATCCATAATAAACCGCATATCTAAATTTTTCAAGTTTCTTAATGTGGCCGCTTGAAGAAATTATCAGAGTTGTGTCGGGTTCGCTTAAATTGTTGACGTTGATCTTCTTCAGCAGCCTGGCCTGGGCGAAGTATGTCTCGAATGTGTTGAACTATGAGATCAATTGCAACTGAAAAATGGGATGAGAAAATTTAATAAAGTTATAACAATATGAAAACTGTATCAAGTTGTTTTTCCTGTGATTAAGACCCAATTTGTATTTTGCATGATGTTCGTGCTCAAAGAAGTCAATGTTTTCTATAATTTCATGCACACTATGACAACCATGATGTCAGCAAGTAATTGTTTTTGTATAAAGCCAGTACTAATGTATGATAATCCAAGGAGATCAGACATTTCATATATATATCAAGCATCAACTAAGTCCCACATGTCAGTTACAAAATGAATGTTTTCAGAATTATCATAAAAAGGGGCAAACAATGAAGGACATGTATGAACTAAAAATTAAATCAGCTAAAAGAAGGAACACTGCAGAGGAAAATCACTCACCTCAGATTGTGAAGGCTTCTGTCACCCACACATATTATACTGTACCAAGCTGACAGAAAGCAAAAATCCCACACTAGTGCTTTCAAGTCACTATTAGAGAAACCTTCACACTCAATGTGCACCTCCTTCTACTGACCATTTTTACATAAGCATTGTAGCCAAAATAAATGATTAAGAACAATAATTCTCTCTTATTTATAAGCTTAGAATTTTTTGTGATTATATAATAATACATTTTACTTCATTATTCAACCTTTACAATTATATTTGAAATATGTGTGGGATAACTTTGCTTTCCACCAACCTACCAAGACTTAGACAAAGGTGTTAAGTAACTAATCCTTCTAGAGAACTGGAGACTAAGATCAATATGCAAGACCACAAAATGTTTAAGTAACTATCAAATCAATATTTTCACTTCTTAAGCATAAAAAAGTCCATATCCTGGAAACTGGTTCTGTCTTCAGTCTGTACTCACATTGCACTTTGAATTAGCCAGTCTTAACAGGAATCCAAAATACCTGTACAATTTGTAACATTAAGTTTTAATATAAAAACTACTGATAAACCTTAAAACAGCAGAAAGGCCAGATTAAAGAAAATTTTCATCTTTTCAAACTGTGACCCATGAACAATAGCATTACACAAATTACTTGAATGAAACACCTTTGTCCACCAATGGTAACCATCTAAGATTAACTTCTTAGAGGCCAATGAAACTACCATTCTACAATATTGTTTACTTCCACCAGGGTTTTCTACACTGTTAATACATTATCTTACTACATACTGCATATCTAGGTTACACTGAGATGTGCCCTGACTTGAGATTTTCTAAATACTGCATTGAAGTCAAAATACAACAAAGTAAATTAATTTAGATATACTATATTGAATTATATACCAAATACAGTATATACAAGCATTGGAAAGAATTTGAACTTTTTCACTCAAGCAATACCTCCACAATTCGGATTTTAGGAGAACTGAATTATTAGCTGGAACTGTGAGCATTATGTAGTATCTTAAAATATTCCTATTTAAACTCTCCATTCTGAAAAATTGCAATTGTACACAATTCATAAAGATTCCAATATGTAATTTGTGATAAATTTTACTAAATTGCATGTACAGTACATACGTTTGAATTAATTAATAAAATTTAATAATAAATGACTTTTATGTACAGTACTGTAACACAAAATGATGGAGTACTGTATTTGAAGAGAAGTGTTTGTACAGTGAATAGCAAGAGTGCATACTGGTTGAGATTCAAATACTATAACTGTAGGAAGCGAGTCATATGAAGGCACACACATGTACAGTCTTCAGCCAGAAACAAGGGTGCATAGTACAGTGTATATACTTAACAATGCAATGTTTTGTTACCCGATTCATTTCTATAGTGTGATAACTGCACTATAATAAAAACTACTTATGGCTGATGTCATGAATTGCAAAATCAACACTTGGATAGATTATGAATTGAGCAGAAATAGCCAGTCACTTTTCAGAATATTTCTTCTAAATTGGAATAAACTACACCACCATGAATTACTAAAAATTTCAAGACCATCAAGATGTTTTGATTTAAAAAATACCGAATTGTAGAGCAATTACTGTAATCCATGTAGTATACCATTATTGGTACAGTATATTGATAATGCACAAAATCACAAAATGTGGTAATTGGATAGCCAGAACAGCGATTCCGACACACATCGAGTCATTCCCATAAAACTGCTTCTTAAGGATATATGTATATATATATATATATATATATACTGTACTGTGTATATTAAAATGTCTATACCCTGTATATGGGAAGACCAAGCAGAAATTATTCAACAATTTAAGATTTTTTTAAATAATTTGTGCATGAGCTATGAGGCACGTAGTTAGAAAATCTGGCTGTACTTGTAAATAAGTTTATGCACTCAGATCAATTAAAAACTTTAATTACTTATAACTATAATAATACAAAAAATATCTACGGTAAATTGTTTTTCTGGAGATGGATCAGTCAGGCTTGGTGACCGAAGGAAGCATTGTCATGGGAGACATAGATAGAGGATTGTTCTCTTTACTACTGAGGAGTCATCTTCCACATTCATTCTGCAGCAACACTCACCCATACATTCTTGAGCATCCTTCTAATATCCTTTTGTTTTTATTTTCTCAATAAATTTTCCTTCCTACATGTGTCCCTCTGCATAACTTGGTATAGCAGCCCTCACTACTTCAAAACATATTGGAGGTAACTGTTGCACTAATGTGACAATCAAATACTTAGTAGACAACAGCTTCACTGAGACAGTCAATATAACATGTATGATCCTTGTGCAAATATTGTGTGTGTTGCTGCCGTCTAAGTCTACCCTTAACACGTCAAAATAAACAGTGACCAAACTGGAAGATTTCATGTGTCACACACTCTCTCTCTCTCTCTGTGTTGGTAAAGAAACACTTGATAATGATGGTGCTGATGATAGTGATGACAATGTCAGTAAAAGTGAGTGATTGTAAGATGCCTTAATATTTCAAAACCATTTTTTTTAAATCTTATGAAATTGTACTTTGTACACCAGCATTTATACCAACAACTTTTCTCTTCGAGTAAGGAATGTATCTGAACCAAAAACAAAAGTGAAGGAACTTAACTCCAGTATATGGCACAAGTAAATCAGTTTAGCTCCAAGAGAATGTGGATCCACTCTCCATAAGATAATAAATAAAAAATTCCTACACATTCACTTTACTTATTGTGAAGAAAATTCTAGAATGGCATAAATATAATATAACGTACTGTACTTTGCCCCTCACAGAAACTGCAAAGTAATAATAATACAAAATCAACATGACACAAAAGTTTTTAGTCTGCTCTGAATAACCAAATCTAATAAATATGAAATATAGAAAATGTATTAATAAAACCCAAGGTATATTATCAAAAGATATACAGCACAAGAATGAAAGATCAAAAAATCTTGTGACTATACAAGTCAACATGTCCTGTACTGTACAATGGAAGGCATATGAATTACCTTGAAGTATAATTAACTGCACAGTATGTTTACCACAATAGTAATTTTAGAATTGAACCAGGAGAAAAATATTTTGAAATAAATTTCCCAAAGTATCAATTCAAGAAAAAAAAAATTATTTGGAAAAATACCATTACTGTAAGGTATCAATACAGTACCTGCATATACTAAATACTGTACGACAAAAACAGCAACGTCCAATGAAGATACAACTTCCAGACTACAATATCATGATTCATATACTGTACTGTATCACTTTATTATTGTAATGATTATTTTCCTGACTGTACAGTGTAAGTGAAATACAACATACAAATCTAATTATCCCATAAAATAAGAAGCATAAATTCTTTAAATTATGATGACTTGTTAACATAATTAGGAACTGAACTAAGACAAAACTTAGCCATTGTGCTTGTTTGAGCCAGTTATTTGCATCTACTTCTGGAACTTTAAGTCCATGTTTGGAACTCTATGAACATGCACTTTGTATGATAACCAACAGTGTGCAACAAGCTGATAATTATTGAATCATGACCACCTCATTAACAATCATGTAAGTAATCCAGCTTATGAGCACAAATTTATCACTCTAGATTTACAGAATATGCCAAGTTGTAAATACAAGTACCCGAACGTATTTCAATATGCAAGATTGAAGAAGTTACTTTAACAATCACTCCAGAAGCACACCTTCATCTCCACAACTTTCTTTACTTAGTGCCACGTAATGATCAAGGTAGATGTCCCAGAAATTTATTATCATAAAGAGAAATGATGATAGCTGTCTCAGTATTCTTAGAAAGGGATTCCCACACAGTGTCCCAAGGTTATATAATAAGTAGTCTTTGTGTTGTAAAAAACTACAGGTATTTTAAGCCTCGGTTCCACTATCCACAATATGCAGCTTTTTTCACATAACACATTTAGAACTTTAAAGGTACCAATACCCTAAGTGACCTACTCAAAAGTTCCATCATGTATTTTCATTTCTGTAATTGCCAGCACTTACACTTTACAGCCTGATATATGTCTCTTAGTCATCATGGTGCTTCAGTTATTATTTACTTGTTCTGATAACAGCACTACATGTGCAGTGTAACCCAAATGTGAATTACAGTAACAAAATATGTTGTTCACTGTATACAGTGCACACTCATATGCAGAATCTTCTCAAGGCATTTTCATTGTGCACATTTGAATACTCCCACATAACAATACTCAGGAAGAAGTGTACATGTTTCTGAAACAACATGAAAAAAATGGGACAATTATATCTTCCATTCCTCATCATTCCTCTTCATGGTAATATCAATAACTTAAAATTTTCTTTCCACACAAAGTCATCTTGCAGAAAATGTTAAACACTACAAATATTAATCTCATATACCATGATGCCATTCAGTTGAACAAATATTGGTGAAAAGAAATAACAATTGCTAAGCTAATGATGTTCTTATACTGTACAGTACTAATAAAATAAGCTTCCTGACATAGTTTAATGCAAACCTTTGTTACGTACATAATAAAAATCAAGATCTCCAAAAGCTGTCCACAAACGTGTCATATATTA